TTTTTTTTTTTGGTACCAGATATTGAACTCAGGACCTTGCACTTGAGAGGCAGGCAGCAGAACCACTGAGCTAAATCCCCAGCCTCCTTGTTTATTATTTTTAAAAATTATTTTTTAAATGGTTGCCTCGACATTACTATTAACATTTCAATATATAACAGTCTATTTCAGATTAATTGCAACTTAATTTCAATAATATACAAAAATCTTAACTCCTGTATAGCTTCATTCCCTCTCCTCTTTGTGTTCTTTTTATCATTCAGATTGCGTCTTAATGCATTTTATGCTTATCAACACTGATTTATAATTATTGCCTGTATAAGGTGTATAAGGTGTCCTTTAAATCAGGTAGGAGAATAATGCTGGTTGCAAACAAAAGGGCATTTGTACTGTCATTAATATTTGCATATGTATACCTTTACTGATACTTTATTTTTTTGTGTGAACTTCTATTACTGTCTCCTTTCTTTTTTGCTTCACTCTGAGGTACCTCATGTATTATTTTCTGCTAGTGACAAATTCCCATTCATATACAGTGGACCCTTGACTTACAAACTAGATTGGTTCCCAAGGTCTGGTTGTAACTCAAGTTGGTTGTAAGTCAATTCAGCTGAGATCTGGATGTTTACTTGTGTACATGCTATAGATAACAAGAGGCAGATGAATCTTCCATTAGCCTAATTAACCCAAGTTGTTCATACATCAGGCCAGTCATAACTTAAGGGTCCACTGTATTCATATTTTATCTCCTCTCTCTTTCTCATATCCTCTCCACCCTCTCTCTTCTCTCCCTTTCCTTCTTCCTCTCTGTCTCCATCTTTCTCCCTCTCTCTCTTCCCCTCTCCCCTTCCTCTGGGGATGTGCCATTTCTTTGCTTTTGAAAGACTGATTTGGTGGATATAGAATATCTGAATGAAAGTTTTTTCTTTCAACTCTTGGCTGTGTCATCCCAAGCTTTCTGGGCTTCATGGTTTCTGATGAGAAGTCAGCTCTTAATTTCCTTGAGGAGGATATCTTTTAAGTGATGTGTTTCTTTTGTGCTTTCAAGATTCTTTATTTTTCAACAAATTGATTATAGTGTGTCTAGATTGGATCTCTGTATTTATTCTATTTGGGTTTCATTGGACTGCTAGGGTTTTGTAGATTTATGTTTCTCTTCAAATTTAGAAAGTTTCACAATCATTCTTTCCTTTTTGTTTTCCTTCCTTCCTCCTTTTTCAGGATATGATCTTTCTGTGTAGTCCACATGTCCCAGAACTTGCTGTGTAGCCTAGATTGGCCTCAAACTCATATTCCTCCTAATGCTGGGATTACAGGCTTGTACAAGCTTCCATTATTTTTTCAGAGGTTCTTTCTGGCTCTTTGTCTCACCTCTCCTTATGAAACTCTACATTTGTTGATATTCTTTATTGTGCCCCACAGGTCTCTGGAACTGTTTTTTCATTCTTTTTTTCCTCCTGTTTCTTAGACTGAATAACCTCAAGACCTATTTTCAAGTTTGCTGATTTTTCTGCCTACTCAAATCTGTTATTGAATCTCTATGAATTTTAATTTCAGTATTATACTTCTCAACTTTGGGTTGTATACAGCTTCTGATCTTCTGTGCTTTCTTTTTTTTTTTTTTTTTTTTGGTACCAGGGATCGAACTCGGGTCCTTGCGCTTGCACAGCAGGAGGCAAAACCACTGAGCTAAATCCCTGGCCCTGTGCTTTCTTTTTTTATACTTGAGTCATTTCGGTGTTTTGGGAGATCCTAGGCCCTCTATACAGTCCTAATACAATATATATGTGATCTTCAGTGACCGACTTTTGTGAAGGCATTCAGGTAGAGAGGAAAATCAACTTCCTTCTCGCAGTTAAGCTGTTTGAACATGGTCCTATTGCACTGGTGTAACAAACTGCCACAAACCTGTTGCCTTAATGAAAGAAACTTCTCTTACAGCTCTGGAGGCAAAAGTTCTAAGTCAAAATGTTGGGAGGATTGGTCCTCTGGAGACTCTGAAGGCAAAATCATCTCATACCTCTCTCTAGGCTTCTGGTGCTTGCTGAAAAAAATCTTGCATTCTTTGACTTGTAGAAGCATCACTCCAATCTCTGTTTCCATCTTCACGTGGACTTCTTACAAGGCACCAACCAGTGAATCTAGGGTCCTGTTAATTCACTGGGATCTCATCATAAGCAGTTACAATCTGCAAAGACCCCATTTCTAAATAAGGCCTCATTCTAAAGGTGGTCCTACCACTATGCTACATTCCCATCCTTCAGTGAGGCCTCATTCTGAGGTTCTGGGTGACCTGAATGGTGGGGCAACACTACTGAACCTGCTACATCTCTATACAGTATCTTATTCTTATGCTCTCCTGGGATCTTCTAGTTCTGTGTTGCCTGATTAGCTTAGTATCATCTGCTAGGATTAGTTTAGGGTCATCCACCAAGTGGGATATTTGATAGGCATTCTTTTCAGATCATGTGTGTATCATAGCCATAAACTTACTCTAGAGTTATCCGTCCCATTCATTTCTTTTTCTTTTTTTTTTTGTACTAGGGATTGAACTCGGGACCTCAAGCTTGCGAGGCAGGGGTTGGAACCACTGAGCTAAATCCCTGGCCCATCATCCTGCTCATTTCATTACCCCAGCCATCTGTGCTTATTTGCCAGTTTCCTACCTGTGACTAAACATCTTCTCCAATCTGACTCAAATTTTTCTTAGCTTTTAGTGAGAAATTCTTTCAGAATAGCAATTTAAATGACATCGAATAGCTTTTTATTGCTAAGGTGGAAAGACTTTAAAAGGCAGAAGAATTTCCCATCTACCTAGAACTCTTGAAAATGGATCAGGCTAGTAAAATAATATCCCTGGGTCACACAGCAGCAGGGAGAGGTGAGTCCAACACTTTTTGAGCACTGTCTGTGTGCCAGGCACCATTCAAATGTTTTACGTAGTAACTCATTTGCTTTTCCCAATGAATAGACAGACCTTGAGGGTAAAACTGAACCCAAGATCACATTAACATTTGATGGTGAGGTCCAGTCAGTCTGGTTCCAGAGCCCAGACTATTTTAACCAGTCTATTCTCCTCCCTCAAAGCCTGTGCTCTTTGCGCTATTGGTGACTGGGTAATATGGGCTTCAGGAAAAAACGTTTAGGTTAAATGATTCAGGAGCATCCCTTTTAGGAGTCACATGTTATAGAAGGCAGTTTTATTTAGTCAGCCCACCGCAGGTTACACTTTGGTTCATCCCTGGGTTTACCTGTGTATCCCAGCGGGCACCTTCCATGAAGAGGCCATGGACGTAGGCTCCTTCCCGAGGAGGGCTCCTGAGCTCCTCTTTGTTCTTCTTTGTCACATCACATTGTAGGGCCATCTGGTCCAGTGGCCATTCATTCTTGCGGGCCATAGACTGCATGATGGCAGTCAGGAAAGACTGGGGATTGAAGAAGCCTGTCAGCCACACAGTGGAGGGCATTGCAAAGTCACCCGTCCAAGCCTCCAACTCCTTGATACGGTTGAGGAGGTCCAGAAACCAGGCTGCCAGGCCTGCTGTAGAAGGATAGGCTCGCCTGGCCCAGGGCTCTGGCACTGTGTTGAGGTACAGGGCGTTCTGTAAATTTTCCATGTCGCTAGTCATGGTTAGCTCCCCCTGAAGACAGCAAAAGGGGAAAGATTAGGGGAAGTAGGAAGTTCCTAGAAACAGCTAGCTTCAGAGGCCTCTGGCTCATAGTACCCATGGGATTAGAGATGACTCCACAGCAGGTAACAATGACTGTCCAAGTCCAGTACTTGCTTTGCAAGGTTTATCTCAGAGAGGCTTATCCTTTTAAACCCTCCCTGCTCTAGTGATGTTGGTCTCATTGTCTAATGACAGTGTTTCAGAGAACACAAGTGTTTCTCACTGTGGACCTTAAACCATCTGTGGATTCCATAATCCTCCAACCCTACCTTAAAACTCAACTGTCCTGCAACCTTTGCAGTTAGCACTTCAGGGTGCTGCATAGAGCTCAGAATGACAAGGATCCAAAGCCTGCAAAGACCTGTATTTCTCCAAATTAAGGATTTCCTTCAGAAGTCAAGCTATTTCATACATAGTCAACTTTAAAGGACCCTCTCTCAATTGATAGATGGAATTTGTAAAACAAAGTTTACATCAAAATCTGTCTTTAAATTAAATTTTGTTATGGTTTTGATTTGGAATATCTCTCAGAAGTCTCAGGTGTTCAGAGGTAGAGCTGTTGGAATATGATTGGATTATAGGGGCCCTATACTCATCAGTGGATTAATCCAGTGATGAGCTCGTAGGTAAATGTGGTATCAGGAGGTGTGACCTGGTCAGAAGAGGTGCGTCACTGGGAGTGTGCCTTTGGAGGGTGTATCTCCCTAGCTCCTCCCTTCTCTCTCCGGTTCCTGGCTGCCACAAAGTAAGCAGGTTTCCTCTACTGTGCCCTTCCATCATGCTGTTTCTGCCTTGAAGCCAGCCAACCATGGATTGAATCCCCTAAAACTGTAAGCAAAATTAAATCTTTCCTTCTTTATTTTGTGTTGGGTATATTGTCCCAGTGATGGGAAAGCCGACTAATATAATATCTTAGTATTTTAAAGAAAAGATAAACCTAATCACACCAGTATTAGATAGATCAGCCGGAATGGATGAGTGTATCCCAGATTATACTTATTTTCCCCCTCAAGTGAAAAGACCCGCTTATAATGAGAGAAAATAAGTTTCATCCTGTATATCTGCTTAGATATGTTAATGTGGCTGGCCACTTTAGTGAAGGGAGTCTGAGGTCACATAAAGAATCAACAAGAAGTAAAAGTGCATCGTATCTGACACTAAATGCTGTCACTTTTGACTGCACTCAAAGTAGGTGAACAAGTTTCTTCTAGTATACTTCTTTAATGGTCTGCTGGAATGAATACCATTATTAGGATAAAACAAAAAATTCTCATGTGGAATCTCTGAGTGTACACAGCCTTCTGAAAAAAGGATGTAATTTACTATTTGTATATTTGAGCACAAATCAAACTTCTCAGACAATATGGTCTTCCTCATTTGCAGTTAAGTGATAATTTGTTAGCTACAATATATAGCTTATGTACTAATTCACTTTCCCATAAAATATCTGATTATTTAATAAAATAGTATTAAGTATAAAGGTTAAATCTAGTGTGAAGGAAAAAATAAGCACTCAAAGATAATCATACCATTTGTTTTATGAGACCTCATCTATGGAACTTTTTCTTGCCTTGCTGCATGACTAAAGACCTTCATTAAAATGAAAAATAAAATTGAATATGATGTTTTTCCTAGATATTTTTTAACTTGAAGAAATTCTCTATTTCTTTTTTATGGTAGCAAAGTTTTATTAAAGGTAGGGAAATAAACAGGCTCTGCAAAGCGAGTTTGGGCCAAATAAAAGTAGGAAGAAAAGTACACCCTCGAGTGTGGGGGTGGCCACAGTGCACCAGAGAACACAGTGGCATATTTCTATTTTCCTGATGATTTGCAATCAAGATTTGTACAATATTGCTTAAATTTTATCAAATGTTTTTTGTGCATTTAAAAAGATGATCACATTTTAAAAATTTGTTACATTAATATGGTAAACTTCTTTGGTTTTTAAATGTTAAAACCAACCTTGCATTCCTAGGATAACCCCATTTGGCCACGATGTATTATCTTTTTCTTATGTTGTGTGGTTTGATGAATTAACGTTTTACTAAGGATTTTTGCATTTGTATTCACGAGGAATGTTGATCTGTCATTTTCTTATAATGCCTTTGATTTGGCTATCAACTTAATTCTCATAAAATTCATTAGGGAGTGTTCTCTTTCCCTTTTCTTCCTTTCCTTTGCTTTCTCTCTCTCCTTCCTTCCCTTCTTTCCTTCCTTCCTGGCAGGGTGAGAGGCTATTTTTTATGGGAAACTACCTGATACTTTAGCAAACACAGTTACAAGGCAAATCCTTACCTGTTGTTTTTGGCCTTATACTGCATTGCCTAGATACAGATACTTTAGGGCTACAGTAGTCTGATACAGCAGGCACTAGCCACATGTTTATTTTAATGCAAGTGAATTAAAATTATAAAAATAAAAATTCAGTTTCCTTAGTCACATTAGCTACATTTCATGTGTTCAGTAGGCACATGTAGCCATATTAGCACAGACATGGGATGTGTCTGTTGTCATAGAAACTCTAGGGAATAAGACTTCCTGAGGCAGAAAGGCTAAGTTTTTTTCTTGGTCATATAAAAGGTAGAATGTTTTTATCAGGGCTATGTTAAAAATCCTATATATTACAGTTTTAACTTATGTGCTATAATATTACTGCTTGCTTGCTAATCTGATTAAAAGGATATGTGTGGAAGTCATTATTTGTTACAGATAATGCTATTAAATTTGCTTTTCCACAAAACTGTTTTGGGTTGTATTAAATTTAGGTGCATCTATGGAGCTATATTTTATATGGGAAAGTTCTCTGTCATATGAGTTGATGGGGGAATGAAGGCCCCTATCTTGGAGTTATCTCAAGACATGAGCCAACAGGACTCTTAATGTGTCAGGTTGTAGACTGCTGGCAGTACTGGAAGAAGTGTGATGAAAATGCCCCTGTCATATGGCACATGCTGTGCCAGAGTGAGACAAATACAGACATCAGATGAAAATCTGGACACTGCCAGCTGATATCTCATTAACTTATGCAGAAAAGTCTTTTGTTTCTGGTTCTCTCTCTGGGCTAAGTCAACAACTTACCATGCTTCAGTGAAGTGATGTAAATTATTTCAGTGAATTTTGTTACAAGAAGAAATGGTGTGCATAAGAAAAAGTTAAAGCTGGACATGTGTAATCCTAGCACTCAGGGGAGTTCAAGACCAGCTTGAATTACATAGTGAGACTCTGTCTCAAAAAACAAAACAAAACACTGTGTATGTGACACAGAGGCAGTGAAACTACCCTTGTGATACTGTGGTGGTGGCTACACGCCATTATTTATTTATCCAAACCCATTGAAAGTAAAATGGCAGGAGTGAACCCTGACATAAACTATGGACTCCGGGTGATAAAGATGTGCCAATGTGGGTTCGTTCATTGTAATGAATGTAGCACAGTGGTGGGGGATGATGATGGTGGGAAAAGGGGTACTTTGTGTGTTAGGACAGGTGGAATATAGGACATCTCTGCACCTTCTGCATAATTTTGCTATAAACTTAAAAACTACTCTAAAAATAAGGTCTAATAAGAATATTTAAAATGCAATACTTAATTCTTAACACCCTTCAGAAATCTAAATTCATTCTGATAGCAGAGGAACATAAAATGTTTAACTTGGCTTTCTCAAATATTTCTCACATCTGCATCTAATAAGATTATAATTTATTCTGGCAATGATTTTACACTTACTAATTGAATGTGCAAGTGATGGAAACTTAAAGAATGTACACTCTCTTAAGTTTTTCCAGTTTAACAGAGAAGCAGGAGTAATTCAGGAAAAGAAAAAATCATGCATCTTGTAGTCAGGGTTCTGAATTCAGGTATTTTCATAAGCTTGGGTCGAATTTCAGAGGAGGGGCTGAGAAGACACACAGAATCCTGCCAGCAGTTTACTAATTTTCCGTGTCCTCTTCTCAGGAAGAGAGAAATGTATCTAAAAACTCCATTCCAGCACATTCTGAAAGATATTCATGCAAAAAAAAAAGTTGCCACATTTGTAGAGGCTTAGGTGAGTGGACCAGGAAGATTGTGTGGCTGCACTGTGGGTATGTGGACTCTTCTGGGAGACCACACTGTACTACAGTGGAGAAACCTGCTCGCATTGGTTCTTATACTTCCCTGGCTGGGATCTATATCCCATGTTGATATCTGTGTGTACTTGTTCACAGGTTAAGTCAACAAAAAGAAAACTTTAAACACTAAGTCCTTCTCTTAAGAAATCCTGCACTTCAGGGTCCAGTGACATGGTTCCGTGATTCCTACATGGCAGGGGTAACTTCAGGACAACCACAGGTTGCGTGGCACCTTTTTCTGGATATGATGAAGGCTGTCTGGCTCTGACCTTATCTATTTTACTCATTCCTATAAATAAATGCTTTCATAATTTTTCTTTGGTATAATACAGACTAAAGACCTTTCCTGTAGGCCTTCATTCCTTTAAGTCAGGGAGCATGTTAAAAATTCAGATTCATATGTTGTCTAAATCTAAGGACTCAAATCTCTGGGGGTGATGGGTAGGAACCTCCATCTGGAAAAGGGCCCTCTGGGCATCTGAAGCAGGGCTGCCCTGGGCTCACTGCCATGCACTGGGGAGGGAATGGCAGCAACATCCCTGCTTGAGAAGCTCTGTGCTGCACTTTCTCCTGAGGGTCAGCTTCCCTCAACTCCTTCTTTAACAGGAGATGATGTTTGCAACTAGCTTTCATTTGTGAATACAGATTTCTTTATCATAAATGCTAAGGTTAGGGTTAGGGATATAGCTTAGTGGTAGACCACTTGCCTAGCATGTATGAGGCTCTCGGTTTAATTCCCAGTATTACATTACCACCACTACCACACACACACACACAAAAAAAAAAAAAAGAAAAAGAAAAGAAAAGAAAAGAAAAGAAAGAAAGTACTAAGAGTATAGATTTTATGACTTAAAGAGTTAGACATTTTCTAACTCTGTTGACCAGTTTGGGTAGAGCATTTTGGTTACCTGTCTGATATGCTAGGGAACATGAAAAACCCCATGACTCCTACACTCAACTTGAAATAGTCTAGAGCTTTAAAGTGACTGTTAAAGAGAAAGAAAGGAAAGGTAAAGAAGGGATCTCTCTAACAGAATTTCCTCTCTCCTCCCTGCCCCTGCCAGGCAAGCCAGTCAGCAAAGCCAAGTGCACCTTCCCTCCAACATCCCAGTGGGAAGCTTGGAGTGGAAGGTCCTGCTGCTCCACTTAACAGGCACTGTCCCAGTCTGCCTTCACCTCTCACTCACATGCTAGACCATTCTGTGAGCCCCTCCTGCCTCAGTCACCCTTTCCTGCTCTTTCCTGTCCTATTCTCATTTCTTGCCAGCTCAGCTTTCTCTCTTCCACAGACCTAAAATCCTTCCCTTCTCTGAATGCTGCTGCCGTCATCTTGGACATTTGTTTTGCCATGAATCTCTTTTTCAGACTATTTCTTCTACCTGCTTGCTTTATGCTGTGCTTCACAAGATGGACTCATCATGAAAATTACCTGCTTGCTGTTTGCCAGGCCCTGCAACAGATGATGGCAGGACCAGTGGGTGGAGATGTACTACGTATTGTGATAAAACCTCCAGTAGGTTTGGTGACCATGCCAGTTTTTGGGACTGTCCTAATAAGACAGGGTTTCCTGATGGCATTTTAAAATGGGGATTGCTCTTCTTCTGTCTTCTAGTTCACAGAGGGACAAGAGAAAAGGTCCTGATTACCTCTGGGTTATTGTACTGTTGCCTTTTGGAATTTCACCATATTATCATTGCTCTCCTTAGTAGATCCTTTGCTCCAGCCAAAACAAAGACCTAGTTTTGGGCTCCTCTGCTCTGTACCTCTGAGAAGCTCCTGTCCCATGTTGTCCTAATCTACTCTTCCTCCAAAGCCCATCAATGCACTTCCTCTCTGAGGCCTTTCCTTATCTCACAGGACTGTTCCTCCTTTCCTCCCTGGCTTCTTTCTGTATGGTGCTTGATTATTCCTGCCTTGTATTATAAGCTGTTGTGTGTTTGTTTCCCCCAACCCCAAGACTGTCCTTCTGGAAGGGAAGGCTCCACTTTCTGTCTCTTTTTCATCCTGCAGCACAGAGTTCTGGGATTTGCCCAAAGAGCTCATCAATCAGCATTGCTAGGACTAGACTGAAAGGAGAGAAACTCCACCACCCCCTTCATCCTTGCCCAGGTGTGCTCTATGATTCGTAACACAAAACCATGGTGAAGATTCTCAGGAGAAAAGTGAATGAGTTGGAAGATGAATGGGTAAATAGAGGACCAAATTGCAAGGATTCAGTAAGCTAAGATTGCAGCAAAGCTACTCAAGATAATTGCTAATATATACCTGCTTACCACAGTAATGAGGATGCATAACATGACAGGCAGAGACCTTATTTACATTTGAGATTATTCTGTGGATTTTATATTTTATTTGATTATAAGCTTGTGCAGAATTTGGAAACATTACCAAACACTGTCAGTTTTCAACATTCCAATTCTGTCATCTTTTTTTCTTATTTCCCTCTACCCATATATGGGGAAAGAGGAAATTAAAAGATTTTTTAAAAAAACCTCACTAGCTGGGCATGGTGCCACATGCATGTAATCCCAGCTACTTGGGAGTCTGACGAAGGAGGACTGCAAGGGTAAGGCCAGCCTGGGCAACTTAGTGAGACCCTGTCTCAAAATAAAAAATAAAAAGAGATAGGATATATCTCAATGATAGAGTGTCTCTGGGTTCACTTCTCAGTATTGCAAATAAATAAGCAAAATAAACAAAAAAATGAAACAACAAAAAATTCCCACTAACAGATTTCTTCAGTCTGTTTCATAGTTTCTATGTGTCTACATGTGAAAAATTCACAGTTGTTTTTCCTGCACACATGACCATGGTTCCACAGCTGGACTTCTAGGGCTTGTCTGAGCTTTCACTGTCAGCTACAAAACTGGATTCTTAATTTCCTTCTGTCTGTGATTATAATTCTTTGCTTTTTTTTTTTTGTCATATTGGGTCAAACCCAGGGCTTTGTGCATTCTAGGCAAGTGCTCTACCACTGAGCTGCATCCCAAGTTCCAGATTATGATTCTTTTTAATAAACATACCAATATAAAAGGACAACATTTCGTATAGCTCCTAACAAGCAGCAGGGTGTTCCATTTACTTGTCATTCAGGGAAAAATCTTAACATGTTCTATGCTGGAAAATTTACATCCTCTCATAGTGAATATAGTAAACTTGTTTAAGTGATTGCTAGAATACTAGATTCTTTGCTCAAAAGAAATGCTAGAGCTTATGTAATATCTTGGTTCTTTTAGGCAACTTCATGCCCAGACTTTGATCTTGGGGGATTTAAGTTGCTGTAGAACAATTTTTCCCCAGCTTCCAGGTCTCATAGGTGCTCCTCTTTGTGCATGTGGGTCCAGCTGTGCCCTTGGACAATGCCCCTCCCTCCAAAGACTTCCCTTACCTTTAATCCCAGGTCCAGCTCCCACAGTGAGCGCTGAATCTCCCTGGTGAGATTGTTCATCCACTCACACTCCTGTAAGGCAACCACAACGTAGGGGGTATGCTCCTCTACTTTGCTCATCAGCTCTGGAATGTTAAACTCATCTGTCACTCGTTCCAATATTTCTTCCAGAAGGGCCTTGACCTGCCACATAGTAGAAAGTACAGAGTTAAGAAGGGAGCTCTGATTCTCTGGGAGGACTCCACTTTTGTGTATGTGGCACTAGAGATGGTCACCTGTTACCTGCTCCCTCCACCCACATCACCTGGCCATGCTTCTGCCTGGTTATATAAATGAAATAGGTCTGGGGTTGAGGGCTGACCATGGGATGGATGATCCCTCCACAGGCTAGCCGGCTCCCTGTGACTTACGTGACCAGCTTGAAGAGATGAACAGAGATGGCTTTCTAAGAACTGGGGTTGGAAGACTCAGAGGCTGACCCAGTTAGCTACTGAGATCAAACTAGAAAGCCATTAAGTAGACTGTGGCCTAAGATGGCCATTGTGAGCCACGTGAAGCTGAAGTGATGGGAAGCAGTGATCAGAAATATGTATGCATAAACTGTGTCTCTACTGAACACATACAGACTTCTTTCTTCTCATTCCCTAGACAATACAATATAACAACTATTTATATAACACTTATGTTGTATTGGGTATTATAAGTAACCTAGGGATGATTTAAAGTATACAAAAAGATGTGCAAATAATATGCTCTTTTGCATAAGGACTTAAGCATTGTGGACTCTGGCATCTCATGCATGTGTGTGCATGTGTGCGTGCACACTTACTTGTATCCTAGAACCAAACCACCATGAATACTGATAATGCATACACTATATGCACACACTCCTACACATATAGTCCTGTGTTTCCATGAGGCAATACTGCAGTTTCTCTCCTTAAATTCTGGAAGAACTTAAGGACCACCTTCTATCATGTTAACCTCCTTTTCTACCCAAGATTCTGTTTCCCACACAGACTGTCAGCTAATTAGACCAAAGGAGCTAGAACAATCAGGGTCTGTCCTGGAAAATTGGAATTGAGGTGCAGAGATTCTGGGTTATTTTGGGGCAAGCACTTTGAGGCTGAGTCTGCCATTTTTAGAGTAAAGGAGTAAGCCCTGGAGGTCTGTCTGCAGAGAAAGAAAAATGAAACAAAGTGCAAACATAATAGGCCCTATGGGTAGCAGACTGAGATGGGGAGGTGGCATGTGAGCTACTGCCAGCCCTTCATGGAGTCTTGAGAGCTAAGCTCTAGATACCTTTGTGAACAGTTGTTGTTCTTGTCTATCATCATTTTCCCCCTTTTTTAGGAATAGGTCTCTATCTCTTTTGGGAAATTACTTCTTCCCCACCATTCTGGGGGACAGCCCCTGGGCCCCACTTCTCCCGAGCCAAGTTAGGTCAATCAGATCATTTTCCTGAGGAGCATGAAAATTTGAAACATGGGATCCAAGCAGCCAGAGGGAGGTGGAGGTGTCCTGGAAGGCCTGCCCACCATTCCTTCTCCCTGGAATCCTAACACCAGTGTGGTCTTTGTCCTTCTGTACATTGATTCCTTTGACACAGTAAGCTACTTCCTGCCTAGTTCAGCTATATCAGTGTCTGTTGCTTACAACCAAAGAGCCCTGACTGGACTAATACCGTTCTGCTCTGCTCTCTCAAGTGAAGTGCTAGCTTACTCAAATGAGCAAGTCATATAGGCCTCAAGTTTTTTGTCTGTAAAAATTTCCAAGAGTGTCTTTTTAGCCAGCCCCCAGTGACCGCCCCCCCGCCCCAGGGTTGACACAAAGATCATATCAAATAAGCTGATTAATGTGGCAGTGTCTGAAAACTATAAAGAACTATATAAATGTAAAGGGTAATTAATATTCACCTTACATCACATTGTTAACATATAATACATTCTCCAGGAAAAGAGCTGATGTTAGAAAAAGAAACTGGAAACCCATCACCCCATCACAAATGGGTCTGTGGTGCTGTCATAGCAAAAACTGGAATTGAATTTTAATGGTACCTGAAAGCAGCTTCCAGGATGGAAGACAAATGGCTAAATTTATATCATATTTCTGTCTGGAGTGGGATTTGAAGAAATAGCCCTATATCCGTAAACTGCCATTTGGATGTTACAAAAAGAGGAAAAGATAGTCTGGGAGGTATTGTTCCAAAATATCCTAGATTTGGGGATGCAGAGTTTTATCCTGTCTGTGATCAGGCTAGGAAGGGTTTGGAGGCCACAGTGGGAGGGCATGAATAGGAAAGGTAGTAGGTTACAGATACATGCAGGACTGTCTTGTACTCAGGGAACCCCAGGGGCCCCTTCAGGTAGGAGGAGTAGGGTCGGAGAAATGTGATCTACTTTATTTCCACAAGCAAACACCTCTGCTTCTTTTCACTATGGATACATGATATTAAAAGCAAGACCCTCCCACAATTTTGACTCTTTTTCCCAAAGAGGGAAAAACACTGTTCAACTATTTTTTGGCTCACATTCCTGCAGACGCCTTTCAATGAACATAACTCTATCCCCTGATCACCCATCTGTACATCCACCCACAATTCACTTATCAGTTATATCCACTTATTACCCATCCATCCATTATTCATCTACTCATTTATCATATTGATCATGTTTTCTCTCTCTCATCTCTCTTACATACACCTTTTCCAGCTTGCTGTTTTCACCTTGTAATAAACAGGGAACACGTTTCCTTATTATTACATATGGACCTGCCCTATTCTTGTTTTTTTTTTTTGGTACCGGGAATGGAACTCAGGACCTTGCACTTGCGAGGCAGGCAGCAGCATCACTGAGCTAAATCTCTGGCCCTGCCTTATTCTTTTTTTTTTTTT